ACCCCCCTCCCCCCCGCTCCCCCCCCCCCGAGCCCCCTCTACCTATCAACCCCTTAAAAATGAGTTATGGACCCAAGCAACATTGAGTACATCTGCTAGTTAAACATAAAATTTAAAAACTCCTTAATTGGTTCTACTATGAAAAGAGATGATGTAGAAGTGGCACCTTTATTCTTCATGAGATTTAATATTTGTTACCATTGTTGATGTATGGGAAAGAAAACCCAGCTTCATTTTCAGATACATGGGCCCCTTAAAAATGAGTTATGGACCCAAGCAACATTGAGTACATCTGCTAGTTAAACATAAAATTTAAAAACTCCTTAATTGGTTCTACTATGAAAAGAGATGATGTAGAAGTGGCACCTTTATTCTTCATGAGATTTAATATTTGTTACCATTGTTGATGTATGGGAAAGAAAACCCAGCTTCATTTTCAGATACATGGGAATTTTCAAGGCTGGCAGTGGCTTGGTTTTTTTTTTTTAAGGTTTTACTTCTGCACTGTGCAGACTTCATCCGGAAATAACTATGTAGCAATAAACCCTAAAGCCCTATGTAATGTAATAGAAGTGTATACATCTAGTTTTCATAAGGAGAACACATTTCTATTTTTGTAATTGAGACTGCATGTCAAAGGTACTGTTGGGAAAATCCATGCTGAAACCCAGAAAAGTTTGTTTAATGTACAGAGTCTAAGTATTTGAAATGGTGAAAACTTGGCATCTTTCCCATTGTAACAGCTGTCTGAGATATACCCAGAGAAGAAGAGCAGGCTTTGAAAACTTCCTTGTTGTTGTTAGAAAAGGAAGAATTATTGGTCAACAGGTGTATGGATGTATTAAAATGCTTATCTGAATATTATATTAAGGTTGGTAGTGCGGCTATGGTAACCGCTTCCATAGTGGTTATGTGTAACTAAGAATTAGCTATTTAATATGACTGCAAAATAATATAGCAACATGATACAGGAAACCAAAGAAAATGCATATGGCAATTTCTTGTTTTTCATATTATATCAATTAAAATTTTAAATTGCAGCTGAGAAAACTTTGGTAAGACTTGGCATTAAAGACTCTATTCAGAACTTGATACAGTTCCAGCTAAATCTGCCTGGATTTAATTTTGCTATGCTGGTTATTCTTGTTACCTTTAAAGCAATACCTAAACATGTACATAGGATGATACAGAAACATATAGTACATATGAGGGTAAATATGGGAATCTCTTCAGGTATCATGACCGTTTACATTGTTAAAATGGACACTATTTGAAGCTGGCATTTAGTTACTGTACAAATTGTTTTGGCACAAGCTCTTTGATAATATAATGCTACAGTGTTCTATTTTCCCCTTATTTGTACTGAGTTGTTTTCAATTAAAACAAGCTTTGTGGTTTTAATCTGGAAATAACTAAGAAACAATAACCCTAACCCCCATGTAATATAATAGAGTATAAATCTAGTTTTCATAAGGAGAACACTTTCCTATTTTTTGTAATTGACACTGCATGTCAAAGGTACCATCTTTGGAATAATCCGTGCTGAAACTCAGAGAAGATTAATGTTGTACATTGCCAAAGTACCATATTTTAGCGTATATAACCCATGGGTTATGCAAAGTTTTACAAACCCCTCTTCCCCCCTCCGCCCTCCAATTGGCTATATTCATCCGCGTGTTATACAGGGTTTTTTTTACTGCAAGTGCAGGAAGACAGGACTGACTCTTACTTGATAAAAGCAGCATATTTTAATTAAATAATAGAGACAGTGATGTTAAAATACATTAAAATACATTAAAAGTTAGAACTTTACTGTGCAACTAGTAAAAGAATAAATATATGGTAAAACTGTTTAAAAAAGCCATCCTCACATTGTCATAAAATACATAAGTTCATTCATTCTGATTACTAGAATCAGTGCCAGCATCCTCCTTCTCAGCGTCTGAGTCTTCAAAACCATCAAAACTTTCCTCATAGTCACTGTCTTGAAAAACAGCCATTAAATCCATAACCAAGGCTAGGCGAGCTTCAGTGACAGTTGAGGTCTGTGGTGTTGAATCAGAATCGCTGTCATAGTTGGATTCAGTGCTAGAAGAGTCAGCATCGGGAAGAATTTCACATTTACAGACTCCATTGCGAATAGTAGCCGGTTTTATTCTGTGCCAAGCAGCCAGAACCCATTTGCAAACTTCCACATAAGTTGCATGATGCTGTCGACCTGCCGGAGTGAATGTGTCTTCCCCATTTGTCATCCAATTGTCCCATTCCTCTCAGATGAAGCACTTGAACCGGTAGTTGACAGCCACATCAAGTGGTTGCAACTTGCAGGTCAGTCCACTTGGAATTATGGTGATATGTGCACCCACGGCATTTATATGTTTCTGAACTGAAGTTTCTTTGTGGGCGGCCAAGGAATCTAAAACCAGCAGAGATTTATGATTTTAAAAAACACCTTTTCGTACATGAAAGCAGCTGTTTGTCCATGTCTTCATAACATCTGTGTTCATCCAGCCCTTTTTGTTACAAACCACACAAATGCCAGCCGGCATCGTTACCCTCTTAAAAATCACCTTTGGTTTTAATTTATCACCATTTGCCGTGCATGCCAACACTACAGTAAAACAGGTGCGTTCATGACTGGAGGTTGCTACACTGACTGTTTTCGATCCAGTTTCCGCAATAGACCAAGTAACGGGTATATCAAATGACATGGGCACCTCAAGCTCAGCTGATGAATTTTTTTATGTACAAAAGTTTTAAAATCATCCATTTTCTTTTCCTGTTAGTCGGGAAGCCGTTGGCCAGCAGATGTCCATGCGCGAACTGACAGATTGTTTCTCCACATAAATTTATACACCCAATTTCCCAAGCCCCCCTTAAAAACATAGATTTTCTGTTCAATAGCCATAAGTTGAGCCTTGACCTGTATGGCTACCATTGACACTGCCCGTCTGTCCTCTTTCTGTGCACGAACCCACTTCAACAGGTTTTTTTCCAGATTTGGCCACTTGGCTTTCTTTCTGTATCACACTCTTTTCCTAGGGTGTAATTTCTCAAGCTCTGCTTCTTCCTTTCTCCACTCCCAAACAGACTTTTCGTTCAGAGAGTTATCTCCCTGCCGCTCTGTTTCCATTGTCCTTTGTATATGTCACAACACACAATTTAAAATCAGCTGTGTAGGATTTCCTCTTAGGCATGTTTACAAAGTTTTAAGTTTAAAATACTTTTTTAAAATTCAGTACAAGTTAAAACTACTAACGGAATAAATGGTAAAACGGTGTGGTTCAAAGGGTTTTTATATCAGCAATAAGGGTTGTAGAATACTTACTGCTCAGCGTCATCAGCTGCGGTTCATTAACACTTCATTACAGGTGCTGTTCATCTCCTGCTGGCTATACACGTGTGCGGGTTATCTAAGACTTTAACACAATCAAGAAAAAATGCAGGTTATGCACGTGCACAGGTTATATACGCTAATTTACGGTATTTAAAATGGTGAAAACTTGGCATCTTTCCCATTGTACATCTATCTGAGATGCATCTGGAGAAGAGGAGAAGGCCTGGAAAACGGGATCTGCCAGCAGCCACGCCTCCAGAAGCGTAAGTTAAAAAAGCATTTGGCAATCCACCAAGGGCTAACCCTGGTGAACAACATCTGGCCTGCAGGCCACTTATTGCACACCCAGTGTTACAGTATGTATCAGGTATTAAAATGATTCTTTGCTAAAAGCCAACAAGAATAAATGAGAGAAGAGAGATAATTCTATCGAAGTTCTGCGTTTCACACTTAGTATGATAATAGAGGCCATATACCATTTAAAATCTTCTCCAGAGTATCACAAATAAAGCTGAATTTAAAAAACCTAGTTGCCTATAAGGAATATTATTCAG